CCCCCCCCCACCCGGGCTGCCAGCCAGTGGCAAGTGCAGCCGGGCTGAGGGCCGAGTGCTGTGATGTGCCGAGTGTGGGCATTCATGGCAATCCAAGCCAGGACTGCTTTGCTGTCCTTGATCAAGTTATACAAGCAAGCGTGGAACCTCTGAGAACTGTCTGTCTGGGGTGGGGGTCAGGTCCTTTTAAGCACAGCCCTCGGCTAGCCTGAGACAGCAGCTCCATGCTCTAAGTCCTAATCTGATGCCCTGCCGGCACTGCTTCCGACCAGCCTTAACTTTGGTTCAGAGTCCACACAATGTGGACATGCTAGTTCAAATTAGCAAAGTGCTAATTCGAACTAGTTTCTAGGTCTAGATGCACTAATTCGAATTAGCTTAGTTCGAATTAACTAATTCGAATTAAGTTAGTTCGAATTAGTACTGTAGTGTAGACATATCCCATGTTTGTTGGTCCCTTCAAAGAACTCTAGTAGATTAGTAAGGCATCATTTCCCTTTACAGAAACTGTGTTGACTTTTCCCCAACAAATTATGTCCATCTATGTGTCTGACAATTTCATATTTTACTATAGTTTCAACTAATTTGCCTGGTACTGACATTAGAGTTACCGGTCTGTAATTGCTAAGATCACCTCTAGAGCCCTTTTTAAATATTAGCATCACATTAGCTATCTTCTAGTCATTCAGTGCTGAAGCTGATTTAAAGGATAGGTTACAAATCACAGTTAATAGATCCACAATTTCACATTTGATTTCTTTCAGAACTCTTGGGTGAATGCCATCGGGTTCCGGTGACTTTTTGTGGTTAAGTTTATCAATTTGTTCCAAAACGTCCTCTAATGACATCTCAATTTAGGACAATTCCTCAGATTTGTCATCTACAAAGAATGCCTCAAGTTTGGGAATCTCTCTAACATCTTCAGCCCTGAAAACAAAAGCAAATAATTAATTTAGTTTCTCCACAATGACTTTATTGTCATGTGGAACAGCAATTGATAACTGACCAAAAGAGGCAATCAGGCAGCCAAGCAAATGGATTCCTAAAGTTTATTTTTGAAAGAGATATAATGCTAGGGGTGTATGTATGTGTATGTCCATGTATCTGTCTTACTGTATGATTTTAGGTGCTGATGAAGTCCACGGGGACATAAATCTGTCAAGATCATGATCCCATGGAATTATCAGTCAACACCTAACATAAAGAGTTTGCAAGATTTCAGCACCTTTTAATCTGAATCTGATGCCTAACCCTGATTCAGGTGTAACAATAAAACCTTACCTAAACCAAATCCAGCCCTGAAGTTGATCTATCTCTTTGTAGTTGAAGGTCTCAGAAGGGTAGCCATGTTAGTCGTATCTGTAAAAACAAGGAGTCCTGAGGCACCTTAGCCCTGGTCTACACTAGGGAGTTATTTTGAAATAAACCCCTTATAAGTAGAACATCCACACTACCAAGACAGTTATTTCCAAATAACAATCTGGTTATTTCAAAATCTCTACTCCTGTTTTCCTGGGGGAATAGCCTTATTTCGAAATAGTTGTTTTGGGAGTTACTATTTCGAAAGTAGTTATTTTGAAATAATTTTCTAGTGTAGAAATGCCCTAAAGACTAAGGGTGTCTCTACACTACACTGTTATTTTGACATAACTAGTGTTATTTCAAAATAACAATGCAAGTGTCTACACAGCCATTCCATTATTTTGAAATAATGTCAAAATAATGGACGGCTTGTTCCGAAATCTGTTAACCTCATTCTACGAGGAATAACACCTATTTTAAATAGCTATTTCAAAATAAGGCATGTGTAGACACTCCACTGCTGCTATTTTGAAATAGCCCCTCACCAGGGCCATTCTAAGTTTTATTCCTTCCCATGCCTCCTGGGGCTCTACATTAAGATAGCATGTCTATTTTAGGGAAACCAGCCTTGGGCTAATTTTGAGGGCTTCCCCGCAATGTAGACATGCTATTTTGAAATAAGCTATTTCAGAATAATTGCTTTGAAATAGCTTATTTCAAATAGTAATACAGTGTAGACATACCCTAATTGATTTATTAAGGCATAAGCTTCTGTGGGTAAAACTTACTTCATTAAATGAATTGGCGTAGAAGTTACAGAAGCAGGAAGAAGTAGCTTGTATAATGAAGCTAATCAAGTCAGGGTAGAAATTGCCTTTGTAATGCATTAACAAATTGAGATCCTTATTCAAACCTAAATTGATAGTATTGAATTTGAAAATTTCACTCTGAGTTGATTAGCAATTTCCCCTCTCTGGATAATCACATCTCCATGCCAAATGCTGTGAATGACCCACTTCTACCCTGACTTGATTAGCTTCATTAACATAAGCAAATTCTTCCTTATATATACCCCTGCTTCAGTAACTTCCACTCCAAATCATCTGATGAAGTGGGTTTTACCCACAAAATGTATGTCCTAATAAATCTGTTAGTTTCTAAGATGCTATGGGACTTCTCAATATTATTTTAGTAGAAGGCTTTTCATAATCTGATGCAAATGAAAAAGTTTTCCCAATTTAAAAGTCCAGTGTCCAGAACTTTAATCATGGCTACACATCTTCCATGACTGAACAAGTGGTAAGATCAGTCTCCAGGGCTGCCCATCTGGTGCCTCTCACAGGTAATAAATTTGCTTTTTTAAAGAGAAAAACATGAGTCCCCTCCCAAAATAAAACCAAACTGAAGATAAAAAAATTCTTCTTCATTTTGCCAGACCAGTTAATTACCTGTAGAAAGATCTGAAGAGCGCGTGTTCATTCCAGTTTCCTTCTGAACAAGTGCTGCAGTCTGCTTTATAAAAGAAAATATTTCAAATGTCTTTTTTGAGTGTTTGTGCATTTGTGTGTGTGTGAAAACTGCAGTTTCTCAAGAGTCACCTTAAAATAAATGCACAGACATTTGAGTGTGGTATTCAGTTACACAGGTTTGGTTTTCTTTAAAGTGATTTCCATCTGGAATTAACCTGAAAGGCTAATATTCTGCCTTTATAATTCTGGTTGAAGCAAGGTGGCCAGAAGATCTGATGTGTCTGCTCTGCCAAGAAACAGCACAAGCTTTCAAGTGAGGAAACAAGGTAAACTTTGTTATCTGATCCATCTGCTTTAGTCCCTGTTAGCCAGGTATGTGCCTGAATGCTCAAAATGGAGGTGTCTATGAAATGATGGCTAGCTTAATCCTGTTGGTTTTAGTCATGGCCTGGCTTAGCAACAGTGGAAAGAACGTTCGTCTTAAAGAAAGGATTTTTTGTATTATAGGAAGGAAGAATACACTCTGCCTTTTAAAGGAGTTGCCCTACTGCAGGCAGCATTTGGTCTGACCCACCAATGCTCCATTTAACCCTCACTCAAAATCCGCTGTATTGCTTCTTAAGCCAGTACTGGTCATGTGGTGGTGCCTTACTTCAGCCATATACTGAGATCCTGCAATGTCACAGGAAGCTCTTTTAGGTAACAGGAGTTTAGTGCTAGCTCCTGTTATAGCTGCTGCTGCAGCCTGGTGGCTGAAGCAGATGAGGCTTTGGCACTGGAAGCTGCCCATGCATTTCAAGTGGCTCCTTTCCTGGTAGATGGGGGCACCCTATTAGTTCATGGTACACCCCATACTTCATTTCTCTGCTCCACATGCCCCCACCAGAGTACTGTGATGCAGCAGAGGTCTGCCATGTGGTCCCTTACTGCCTCTCTTTAAGCTGTACTAGCTTTAGCTGTAGAGATATGGGCGACAGGTATAAAAGGCAGGGGAAAGCATTGCCTTCCCAAATTACCAAGTGTGGCTTTGCCCACACTCTGCCCCCTACTTCAGCGTGGCTCTAGGGTGCCCTTGAAGTTCAGCCATGCTGAGGTTGGGGCTGTGTGCTGCCCACCCTCCCCATGCTCCAGGACTGGGGATCCAGAGGCCATGCACCACTCACCCTCCCCATGCTCCAGGGCTGGGGAAGCTGTGGCCAGGTTCCATCTCCCCTCTCTGTGCTCTGGGGCTGGGGAGCCTCGTGGGGGGAAAGGGAGTTGGAAACCTGCCCTTGTAGTGGGGGATGCTTGGCTCCTGAAGGGGGTGGGGTCTCAGGTGGAAGAGGTGGGGCTAGGGGTTTCTTCCCCCAGTTCTAGGTTCCCCCACTGCCCGTGTATAGTGGTGATAATGAATCCATCCCATCCCCCTCTCTTTTCCTTGACACTTCTCCATTTTGAATGGTTCACTCTCCCATCCTCTGGTCCTGTTGGACCTCAGTCTATGAAGTAGAACTTGAGTTCTGCTTAGCTCTATTGTAATCAGTCATATTATTGAAATTTAACTGAGCAAACCTAGTATATTGTAGAATGATTATCTAACCCACCACCTTAATAGGCTTACATCCAGCAAAATTAAACAATAAAGAGGGTTTCACGACCACAGCTATTGAGAAGTGAGTCCTTGCCAGACAGAAAGCTATCAACCTAAGTTTTCCTTAAATCTTATAGGCTCTTCCCTTTATGTGGAGGCAGTAGATTGGATTGCCTCAAATTGCCTCATTTCAATGTGGCTGGTTTAGAATATGAGTCTATGACCATACACTTCCCAGCTTAGAGCGGACCCTGCTCTTTAGCCAAACGCTCTAGCTTAAGAACAAGGGTTCAGACTATTATAGTGAAAGAAGGCTCATATACAGATGGACTGTGATTTTGATTTCTTGTTTTGTATCTCTATAACTAGCTAAGTAAGAGAAATATGTCTGCGTTCTTAAAGTATAGCCCTTTACAGATAGGCCTGAATATCTATATCTACAGGTTGTAGCACGGAAAAGATCTCAAGTAGGACTATTCTCTTCTACCATGTGAATGTCTTCAGCCAGAGTAGAGTTTCCCTATGGCAGTGGTAGGCAAACTGTGGACCCTGGACCACATGCAGCCCATCTGATTTCTATGTGTGGCCCAAGAGACATCTTGTGTAGCATTGCCCATGCGCAGGGTTGCTAAATTCATGGTTTCCATCCAAATAGTTATTTTTCCTACTGGTATTAACAAGGTCATGTGAAGTGAGTTGCTTGTTAACTACACACAACATTGACTGTGAGAGCAGTGTGCTCTCTCTGCATCCAATCAAAGCACTGCTACAGTTCAATTCACATACCCCGCAAATTCTAGATACACAAGTGGTATTCGCAAAACTGCACTACCCTGGGTGATTGTCTTGGTTACAACAATCTTGTGGCCCATTGAAATGAAGGAGGGCCACTCATGCAGCCCACTCACTAGCCTAGGTTGCCCTTCACTGCTGTATGGGGATATATTGTCCACAGCCCCTTCCAACACCAATTTGGTGATCAACTAATGTCTGCATAAGAACAAAAATTGACATGATAATTTGCCCTTTAGCAGAGGGTTTGCTCCTAAGGAGAACCTAACAGACACAGAGTTGATATTCATAGTCATAAAGCAAGAGGAGCATGTGCTCTTCTAAACTAAAGCTAAAGCACTGGAAGTATGTTTGCTGCCCACAACCTCAAATCTTTAATGGGATTACCTAGCATAGACCCTTAATCCCGTCCGCTGTTTCATTGACTTACCATACTCCATGATTTTGTGGAGTCACACTCACTCAGTGGGACTCTCCACTGAAATAAGGGTCCATGCTAGCATATCCTGTTGCAGAGTTGGTGACTAAAAAGAGGATTTAGATAATAATGTTAAATGGAGTTAATTCAGGAGGATTCTGGCAGATGGACGTTGTGAGGAGTGAAATGCCATTCAGAGGGGGGTACACATTATACAAACTGAAATTCAGAATGCTCAAAAATCTTAACATTCTTGCATTTAGTTTCAAATTCTTAATCAGTCTCATTTGCATCCAATTTCTATGTTAAACGCAGAGCATTTTCAATGAAAATGATTCCATTTAGGGAAAGTATGTGTCTGAGTGGAAACGTTTTCATTAATGAAAGTGTGCAATATTTCACAATATCCAGTGTTTTCACAGCTAAATTACTATTTTGATGGAACAGTCAAATTCAGGAACATGAAAAGAGCTTCTGAAAAACTATGGAAAATTCCGTGAAACTTTTTTCCGTGAAACTTATACTACGGGATCATGAAAAAATGCCTGCTGGTATTAGAACTTTCCAAACAGACCAAAATAAAATAACAACAACAACCAGAAGGGAGAGAGAAAGCTCATTAACTCTAAGAAACTATTTGGGACACCCAGCAATATTGGAATAACTATAAAAAATCTCATGTCAACTAATGCCATTTCTTATTTATGCAGTATCTGTTTATTTTTAATCTTTACATTCTTGCTTATGAAGCAAACTTCAGAGAAACTGAGACGCAAACAAAATGTATTTGTGATGATGCCTAACATTAGACATATTGTGTGTGATGCTAGAGGAATCATATATTGAATCTATGTTAAGTATGGTGATAACTATAAGAACCGTGCTGAACTACTGCGAAACAATTCAGGTAGTCAGCAAACAGTGCTAATTACTAGTCTGGGAAAATTATGTGTAATTTACTGCCCCACACAGGCATCTGCCTAAAAATAAGCTCTTTTTGTCTTTTTTAAGGACTGGCATGTTAATGTGAAATACCTGATACAATTATATGCAAAGAAGACATTCATATGTTCTCTCATAAATGCACCTCTGTTACTCAATTATTGCTTCAGTACCTTCATAGAGCCTTTGGTAGAAAAAATACTCTTCATATAATTCCAAATGGTGAATAATCACTACTAGGCCACCCGTAAAACCTGTTATCCCAAATGCCTTGATCAGTGGGTAGCACAATAAAAATGAGAAAATAAAAATACTGGAAGGCTGCCACTTATATTTACAGAGACATGTTGCAAGTGAAAACCACTTAAGTGCATGAAGTGGATTGAAACAGTTTACATTTCAATGTTAATTAACTTAAAAAAAATTAGAACTCTACCTCTAAGCAGAAAGATTAATGCTCAATAAAATAGTTTCATTCTAATTAATTCTGTTTTTAATGCAATGATTTCAGTTGGTTAAAGTCAGGACATTAATCGTTTTGGCATGGAAGACTTGAACCAAATGTTTAAAAGAAATGACATCCTCAGCTTAATATTCACTCCCCTCCCTCCCCCCTACCCCCCCCCACACAAAAAACACATTTTCAGTTCACTGAAGAAGGCCCCTGCTGGTTCTAAAGGAAAACTAACTTGCAGAAGCAAAATAAATACGGGCATTGTGGCTTTACAACAGCTGAAAGACACAAACCCAGATGTGTAGTATTGTTGGCTTTTAAAATCAGATAAGGCGTATTCAGACATAATCATTTCAGTGTCTGGGATGCATTGCATGCTACAGAGATATCCAAGTATGGCCCTACAGACACATGCAGTGTGTGTTCTGTCTAAACAGCAACAAGCTGACAGGATTTCATAACATTATTGTTATGTCTAGATAGGCCAATGTTTGTGTAATTTAGCTGTGACTTTGAAATACCGTAGCTTTAGAACTTGGGACTCAAATGAAGCTTTATGATTAGTTGTCAATAATGTCATATCTACTGTATGTCAATACTTCCCAGTAAATGCACAGGTCTAAGTGTCTTCCTTTAGACATGTACCTTGTTACACTACCTGAGGAGTGCTATAATTACTCTGAAGTGAACTGCCTGTCATATCTTGTTGCTCGTACACTAAACAGTTGCATTCATAAGGATTAACGGTCTTCGGGAACGCTGTGCTACAAGAGGCAGTGAGCCAAACAAAACAGTCTAAGAGCACACGCATGTTGTTATGCAAGATCAGTTGTTGGAATCAATCTAGCAATTTCTTCATGTCCATCATTGCAGTTGCCCGTCATAAGAGTAGGTCTGCTACAGGGCTACTCCATCACTGTCCCTTTAAAATGGATGTACCCACACCTTTAAAAAAGTCATGGCCTTGGCCATGCATTGAAGTGTGGTATGCAGGGGGTTATTAACATCTAGTTTCAGGCAAAATTCTTCTAAAAGTGCAAAGAATATGTATTTAACCTTACAGAAATATGGCTCACTGATTCTGTGGTAGCCTGTTAAGACATACAAGGTATTTCAGCCAGGGACAATTTAAGTTATGCACACAACATGATTTTAAATAAAGAAATATTGGAAGGTTTTTTTGGGGTAAGGGGAAGGGAGAAGAAGGTCTGAGTATTTTTTAGGTTTAATTTATGGCGGAGCAGCTTCATTTTAGTAACTTCACGAGACTATTTTAAACCAAGCCTGCATATTATTAAAATAACTTTAAATATATGTAAAATTTATGAGAGTATGTCAGGTGTAATGTTTGATAAAGTAAGTTTAATGCTTCAGAATTTATTTTTCTTCAGGCAGGGAAAGCTGAATCCTGAAATTCTAGGTTGTGGTATAATTTTATAAATTATTTTCCATTACACTTTTCTTTTATTAATGAGATCCAGCCCAATTTAACTAAAAGAATGTGTAGAAAGTACCTAGCATGTTAGAAGCCAGGATTGTATATTGTTTGTGTGAGAAAAGGGGAAGTTTTCTGTGTGTTCATATTCTACATCCAACCTCATAAAGAGACATGAAAGAAATCTATCTGCAGCAAACTTTGCATGTATGCGTCTTCGGTGTGGTCTTTCTGCTGGAAATGCTGCAGCACTCTGAAGAAATAAAAGGTTTTGTGGCTGACGGGAGCTGTACATCACTTTGAGCACTCTTTATTTACTCTGGGTGTGTCGTTTTGTTACATTGTGTGACACTTCATATTATCATGACAGGACTAAATGACAAAGTTCCAGCTCTCTACTGAAAATTCAGAGCATCTTATTTCCATTTTCTCCTGCTCAGGTACTGGTAATCCAGATGAATTAATACAGTAGATCAACAGAGCAGCAAGGGGAAATATGTGCATACTTCTCAATGGCACTGTATTAAAGATACAGCACATCAGTGATATGCGATCTGAATTTACCTCCATTGAACAGAAACCTGGCTTTATCTCATTCCTCTGTTCCATGGAAGCATGATATTAGAAATTTTGAATCTTGAAATAATTATAGAAGAAAATTGCACTGGGTAATAGCCATTTTGTATTGCTGTTATTCCTTTCCTTTGAGGATCACAAAGGCCTTTATTAACATTAAATAATTTATCTTTATAATGCTTCTATGAGGGGCAATGGAAAGCTGGTATTCCCCCTTTCCTGATGAGGCAGTGACAGGTGGAATGATTTGCCCAAGGTCACATACCAAGTCCATGAAGAGGTGGGAATAGAACTTCCTTGTGTGCCTTAATGCCAAAGGTTGCCATTCCTACCAAGAAAGACTCTACATTCCATAGAATTTCAAACTTTACTGTTCTTTATTTCCCTCGATTTTCAGACTTTACCAGGGTTTTGAGTTACTATTGCTAAAGACTTCTGTCAGACTACGTACTGCCCGTTTGTGAATGTTTCCATTCATGACACTCCAAATGGCCTACCTTTATTGAACAGAGCATTTTTGAACAGCCATGACATTCTGAAATAAAGTTGGAAATGAGGAATTATCTGATTGTTTGATTTGATATTCATGATTTCTCCAACCAGATTTTCCATGTTGCCACTGAAAAAGGAAGATAATGTAATGGTTGTGTTAACCTGTACTATAATAAACCTTTTTGTTCCTGCTAGTTGATTGGATTGACTATTACCAAAAATTCTAAGTCAGCATTCCAATAAAATTTTCAGAATAATCTGCTTAGTTATCATGTCCATGAAATTCAAATTGGACCAATTAACTTGTGTATACCTGCTGCCCCTCCTATTATCATGGAATTACTCCAGAAAGTTATCATACAGAGTATAGCTGCCTAGTAAGATGCCAAATTAATGTCACCCGTGCATACTCTTGAACTCTGTCTCTCTTCTTTCTATCTATTTTTCAAGAGTCTAATGTATAAAGTCTGTGTCTTCTGATACCTGTCTCATTTGTGTCTCACAAAAATCACTCTGAATCAATAAATAGTCTACCCTCCTTGTACAGTCTTCATAGAGATTCAAAGAAAGGACCATTACTGTTAAGGTTGAATTGTCAGGTGTTAGATGAAAATATTCATGTTGAAACGCTATATAGAGATATACTCAGAAGTCCTGAAGAAGACTTTGAGATGTCAACAAGTCTGAACCTTTTGTGGAATTTTCAAAAGTCTTTCATTCACAATTCTTCACATACATTTGCACACACTTAATATATGGTATTTACACAATACCCAAGGTCTAATCCAAAGCTTATTGTAGTCGATGAAAAGACACCATTGTGTCAAGCCCCTATTAAGAGGCATGCTATCAGACTGATGGCTAACTTGCCATACAGATACACCAATTCCACACACATTGTTGATGCAAATTTAACTTAAGTGGTAAGCCATGTTCTGGTGTAAATGTCAAATGATTTACATCTTTTCTTCTGATTGGTATATGTGTTGTGCATAAGATGAGACAATAGGCATGAATGCATCTATTGTATTGGAATAGCGCTTAATAGCTCCAGTCATCCCTAGGACCCAATCATATTAGGTGCTGTATAAACACAGAACAAAAATATGGCCCTTGCCCAAAAGATCCTTAAGTCTAAATGTGTGACAAGAGACAAAAAGTAGATACAGACAGATGGAGGAAACAATAAAGGTCAGCATAAGTATATACCATTTTGGCATGAGTGCCCTTGATGGAACTCAAGTAGGCAACTTAAAATAATTGAAATGTTGTACTTACAGTGTGCAATACCAATTAATTGTGATTCCTTGTGTAAAAGAGATTGAAGCAGAGAGGGAATGAGGGTGGAATTGGGGTGGTAGGATTTTTTATTTTTTTCTTTTCTTTATTGCAGGGGGAGTTTGCTTTTTTATTAAATGGGGGAAAGAGCGCTGGTTAACTAAAAAGAAAGTGAAAAATTAATAGGTCTGTCATTTATATCCATCTTTATGTAGGCTAATTCTTCACAAATGGTACTTCGTACTCACTTGTGATTTTATCATCTGTGGATATATCAAATTCTGAACTATTAGCGAAATTTCCCCATTCTCTGTCCTTTAACTAATGGTCCTTGTGCGTTTTTTCTGTATCTTTATCTGATTTAAATAATAAACAAGTACCTTAAAATATCACCAAAGAAGATCTAGTTTTCCCTAACAGTTACCTTTTTAAAACATCTTTTTATTTTCAGGGATTGTTTCGGGTCTTTGTCACATGATTGACACTGAACTGAGAGGGAGGATACGTACACCTCCATGTGAGAATGTGTGACAGGAGAAACGCAAAGAAGACAGCATGCAGGAGGAAGGGAATAAAGCTGTGGACAGAGGTAATATGAAGAAATACTGACATTCCATCAAACCTAGTATCATATAGTTCCTTCTAAATTATCTTACTTTCTTCTGTATCTTGCTCTTTTGGCATTAACTCTGCTTTGACATTTTTCTGGTCCATTCCACAATGCTCCATCTGTGTATGGAGAGCACTGACAAAGCCAACCTCTGAAGCATCAAATAAAGACAGTCTAACTAATCTGCCCTTGAACAATACATAACCATTAAACCCAAGTTCAGAAGACTTAATCTAAAATATCCAAACCTCTTTCTGAGGAAGTGATTAGTCTATTTACTACTTCAGCCAGCTTAAAATGTATTTCTTTGCTTAATGTTATGAAACAACAATAAAAAGATTGTTGAGGGCTCTCTAGCCCAGAATATGGTCACTTGCGATGACAAAGTGGGAACTAGTTAGATAAAGTAGCATTCACCCCAAATATTTGTCTAGCCATATGGTGTACCTTTTTTTGGTTAGCTTTTATTTTGTTCTACTTTTGCATATTCTAGCAAAGGATGGTAGTTTGTTCCTGGTCATTGGAAAGATGAAGGGAATGTGCTTTTTTAAAGCAAGAATAATAGAGAGCCACACAGATAGATGGGTGGTCTGAGGCAGACACATAAGTGGCAGTGATACCAAAATAGTGTGTACAGTGGGGAGGAAGCTTCAGGCTGTGAGACCCTCTCTCCATGTCTTAGTGTTTGTAGAAGAAGATCACGATCTATAGAATAGCCCAAATAACTCTTGAAAATGAGCATGTCTGTGATTTAATAACACCATTTTTAGAAAAAAATATTCCACTTTTCCTACTATTCCTTAAGAGAAAGAAGGCAGAGCGCTATGGGGCAGCAGCTAGCACACAGTTCATTACCACTGCGGCAACATATAACTAAACAGTCATGTATTTATTTTTCTGCATGGGCTGGCAGAGGGAGGAGAGTGTAAGTTCTGTGGCGCTATGATGAAGCCTAAGAAAACCCCATGTCTCCAAATCCCATTGTCCAAATGTGGGAACACTCCACGAATTCCAATAAAATGAAAATAAATACTGTAACTATCTGGTCTACAATTTGAATGGCTTTCTGACTTGGTAAGTGATTATCATATGTCTTGGTTATTTCTACAGTCTGTAAGGTTGGCTTTCTGAGAGTCAGAGACAAAGTGAGATAGATGCTACAAGTAGCCGAGACACTGCACTGAGAAACCAAGTATTTGTGGTACGTTCAGATTTATGGTAGATGATGGCAGTAAAGTGAAAGCAAAACTGCTTGGAGTGTTTGCAGCGTTGCTCATTACTGTGTTTGCCCTTTTCTCTTGGTTAGCTAAAGCTGAAAAAAAAAGGAAAAGTGTAGCTTATATATAGTGTTAAGAGACATTTTTTGACAGCAAGGTCAATCAGACTAGTTTACCTAGTTGAGGTGTTTATGGAACAATAACTCAATGTCTTTAAGGAACGGTTAGCTATGTTTATAGGAAAGGTAGTGTGTTGAATCCTTCCTGCTTCATAGAGGTCTTGGCCAAGATGACCCAGGAGGCCTCTTCTGAGTCTCTCAGCTGTGGTTTCATGATTGATGCTTTCTTTTACAGTATTTTCAAAATACAAAGCACTGTTGTAACCTCTGATATGATACACAATGTAGTTTCAATGCAGTATCTTACAGTAAATGGCTATCCAGTAGCACACGATTTTGTGTCATGGGAAGAAAACAAGGAAAAATAGCAATGCAGTTTCCCTGTAAAGATGCAACATTTAAGGTATTTCTTGATATTAGGCACAGATTGTGTATCCTTAGCCATGCTGGCACATGCTTAATTCATGTGAGCAGCCCTACTTAAGTCAATGGCATCAATGTGAATAAAGGCTGCCCAATCTGACCCTTCATTAGGTATTTGCAGAAGATCTCATGAGGTAATGGATGGTTTCCAGGGATAGATCCTTCACCCTGAAGATGGATCCTCTGGTAGTTGCTGGCTTGGAGAAGAAAGGTGGTCCAGTGGTTAGGGTGCTAGACTAGTAGTTGGGTGATGTAGGTACAAATCCCTGCTTTGCATCAGACTTTCTGTGTTATCTTAGGCAAGTCACTTAGCTTCTGTGGATCTGCAAAATGGGGACAGTAGCAGGTATTACAGAAATCGGGGACAAATATCTACCTAATGCTGAACTAGCCACCTGAGGATTCCACCTGTGTACAAGAATGCCCCGTTCTTTGTAGCAACACCTTTCACATCTTACCATTTCCCCTGATGTGAGATGGATTGCCAGGAGCCACAGCTATCACAATGGGCCAATTGAAGAGGTGATCAGTTGATGCAATGCAGAACAGCCTGTAGCCGGTAATGAGAATATGCAGATTGGAAGAATTGTGTCTAATATCTGGGTGGAATTTTCCCCCTGCATCCTCTTGAGTAATTCTTTGGTGAACAAAGGGTTTGTACAGTGTAAGGGAGTAAAATGCAAAAGTGAAAAGAGGGCAAGGATAGATGTCTTGTCATTGAAACTTCCATGAATGGAGACTTTCTATCAATCTGTTGCCATTCGAGAAAAGTGTTTGGGGAAAAACCTGCAAAAAAATGTTAAAAAATAATTATGAAGGTGAGTCAGTGCATCCAAAGCAGGAGTTCTTCTTGTATAATTCTTGACATAGATCAAAAAAACCTTAATCAAATTCTGAAGCCCCAATTCTGAAGGCTCCAAGAACTCAGGAGAACAGAGACTGAGATTATGGTGCCTTACTGAGTGAATCATCACAATCACTGTGTTGAAGCCTCCATGTTCGGAGGAGAAACCACAACAGCTACTAGCTTTCTTTCTTGATGGGACATATTTTTAAATACACAGGTTGTCCTTTCTCTGTCTCCCAATTTTGTACAAATAGATGAGTGTCTTCACATCTCATTATGCCTTATTTTGTTAACACTTACCTATTCCACCCCACTCTCACCTTGCCTAGCAAATGGAAATTCCATCAAAATTGTTATGTTTGAAAAAATGCAACCAGCTCTAATCATAGTGCTGTTGCTGCTTCTCTTTATACCTTTCTTTATCCCCATGTCACTATTTGCATGGCTGCTTTCACCAGAGCTGGTTGTCATGAAGTGGAGGTTAAAAGCCAATTTGGTGAGCGATTTCTATTAGAAGACAGTGTAATTTGTGGTGCGAAGATTTAGTTTATTTGTATACAGTATACAGAATTCCTGGTGGACAAACAGCTCTCCAGGCTCATATATATTCAACAGCTGGACTCTACATGAAAATCACAGTCAACAGAAGGATGGACTGTTGAGTCTTTCATGGGATAATCCTTCCAAATGTCTGAGAGGGCTGAACTGTTTGAAAGTGAGTATAATATACATGTTGCATGAAGGTGTTGAGTTTGTCAGGATCAGAAAAAAAAATCATAACAACTAAATCTTCTAAACGTCTCACCTGGCGTCTTGGCTCTTTAGTATAAGAAGACAGATCTGAAGAACTTGGTTCAAAGTTACTTCTCCATACTGTAGGGCATACAATTAACTGCTTCAGTGCCCCTGTCTCTCTGGAATATACCTGTCAAAAGACTTGGACTTTGTTCAAATCTCATGTGAACGTTCCACTTTAGCTTTTAGAAACTATAATCTCTCCTATGCAGTGTAAGGTGTTGGAGCATGACAGAATGTGCAGTCTTCAAATAAAGGGCTGGAAAAGCAGTGAGGGGAAGTAGTATTTCCTCACCAGGTAGTTTTCTGTAGTCCTTCTACATCTTCTCAGGCCACATCTATACAACCATAGAAAATCCAGTTAAGTTATACAAGTCTCCCATCAACTTCCCTTACTCTTCTCATCCAGGGTACAGTAACACGATCAACCAGAGAATGCTCTATGGTCAACTTGGCAGTTCTTCACTAGACCCATTAAATCAAACATCAATGGATTGAATTCAGAGTATCAATTCCCACAGTAGTGTAGATGTAGGCTCCATGGCTGTCCTGTTCTCTGCAGCCAGAAGGGGCATGGTCATGGTCATGGAAAAGTGGGGAACAGCCACTCAGCATGGCAAGCTCTGTCAAGGCAGTGTAATTTGTGATTCATGGTTAGATTGTGCATCAGGTGTAGGCCCAGTCATTGACAGCACAACAATCATGCAAGCATTGCAGTTCTGAAAGGTTCTCAGCTACTGGGCTGATGAAGACCGTGTAAGGACTAGAATAGACTAGATTAGAATACTGCTATGACTGCTGGGGGGCAGGGGAACTTGGAGTAGATGTTTCCAATGGCCAGGTAATTGTCAACACAATATCACCATTTCCTGCAGAACTCCACATAATCTATGAGAAATTGTGTCCATGTCCGATCCCATGTCCAGTCCTGAGGGCACAATGTAGAGGCCAGCAGTTCTTTGGATGCTTCATAACATTGGAGAGTTATGCTTGTTTTGTCTGACATTTTATATGGGGGGGGTGCTTTTCCTCTCTGGACACTTTTAAGCTTTGTTCTAGCTGTAAAGCATTCAGGAAAGTGAGACATGGTTACTTAAAACAAGGGGATTGTGATACACATGGAATTGGGGAGGAGGAGTCTGTTTTATACAGTATGGAAAACATCTAAGTGCTTCCAGAACGTGAATCTGCAACAGTGACCATGCATGTAAAAGTAGAGTTTCGTCCATTTGTTGGGCTGACAGACTAGCAGCACAAATATTAATTTGATAACTTGCATGCTGAGAGAGTGGGGAAATGAGGTTGTGCTCCTTTAGGACAGTTAAATCATATGTGGCTATAATTCAAGGAAGAATGATCAACAACGAGATAGGAGGAAGAGTATATCCTAACGCTGTCTCCCATTCACACACAACCTATGATAGTTTGGGGAGCTGCTGATTTTCCTAAAGCATTATCTGCTGAAAAATAATTTTTACAACTGAGCTATCCCTCTGACTCCTGCACCTTTCCTCTCTGCAGCTTCATTGACAATGTCAGACACCATAGTGATGAGTGTTTTACAAGAACAAAGAGAGA